GATGTGAATGATCTGGTGATCGGTCTTAACCGCAATCTTTTCAAAAAGATTTCGGAATTATCAGTCATGAACTCTTTTTTCATTTTCGCTGGTAAACTTTATAAGCAAGTTAATGGTTTAGGAATGGGCCTTCCCCTTGGTCCCACACACGCTAACATTTTCATGCGTTTTCATGAAGTTTCTTGGTTGGCCGATTGTCCCAGTGATTTTAAACCGATTTTTTATAATAGGTATATTGATGATACCTTTCTGATTGATCTTCAAGCATCCCTCTCGTGCGGGCCTTTTCTTTGATTATCTAAACCTCAAGCATCCTTCAATAAAATTCACTATGGATTGCTTGTCGTTTCTTGATTGCAAAATCACAAAGTCGGGCGGTCGTTTTCAGACTTCCGTTTATCGAAAACCGACATTTACCGGCTTGGGTATGAGCTTCTTTAGCTACTGCTCGTTTCGTTTCAAACTGAATAGTCTTCAAACTTTGATATATACCGTGGCTATAGGGTGTGTTCTACTTTCCATGATATGCATTTGGAATTCGATTTCATTCGTAATATATTTCAGCTTAATGGTTTTCCATCGTGCCTTGTGTATAGTAAATTCAAACGCTTCTTATCTAAGAAATTTTCTGAAACTGTGACTGAAAATTATTTCATTATTAAAATTAAGAAAATTATTTATTGCACATTGCCCTATTTTGGTAGTGCGTATGAAACTATGTCCAAGGAACTAAAGATGTTGGGTTAAGAAATATTTCCCGAATATAAATTTGCATATTTTACTGGTAAATATCATTTCAAAATTGGTTCTTTCTTCAGGTATAAGGACGTTATTCCTGCTCGGATGCGTTCAAACCTGGTCTATGAGTTCAGTTGTGCACGCTGTGCATCTGTGTACGTTAGAATGACATCGCGTAACTTCTACATCCGGGTTTCTGAACACCGTGGCAGGAGCTATTGTTCCTCTTCTGGCTGCTCGGATTTGAGAATTCTGGAGTCTCTACATATCTTCAAACGGAAACCATGTCTCAATAATGCGTTTAGTTCATATAATCTAGAAATGGTGAATCGCTAAGGATTTTATATTCTTGTCGTACACCCAGGACTAAGTTGTTCCAATATAGTCCTGTTTATTTCGATATAATGTTAGGTCTTGTTTAGGTTTTATGTCTGTCTTTGAATTTTGACTTATAAAATGATTTTATTCATTTTTAGTTTAGTCGAACTGATGATGGAGCTGGACTCCGAAACGTTTTCTTTGCTTTTAAATTCCTTGTGAACTTGCGATATAAGCAGACTGATAATATAATTACTTAAATTTAAAACGGTAATTGAAGTATCGGAAACGAATTTTATGCAAACAAAACTTGGAAAATATACATCTTAACGACATATTTTCCCTGCCTGATCAATATTATTAGAAAAAATGTGACGAAATTATACAAACTGTGACGAAAACACTCGACAAGATGTAAGCTTGGTCTTCATTGTGGCAAGCGTGAGAGTAATGCTGGAGTGGAGCTAATATGAGAGCAAAGATTGAGCGAGGAAGAATAGCTCACCTGCACCTGCGATGTGTGTCATGGTAGGAGGGAAGATAGAAAAATAACCGTCACACACGATTATCTCAGCTCACGCAACAGTTCCAGAGAGAGAGCGGACACGTGCTTTCTCGACCGCGTCTGACAGGGAAGCGACGTAAACGACGTGGCTTTAGAGTTTAGATAAATGAGGCGATTGCATAATATTGTCAATATTATATAACACACTTAATAACAAACCATTCTACTACTACTTTTCAGTGCATAATAAAGGAAATATTTTATTTTATTAATCGATCCATACAATTTATACTTAATGATACAATAATTAGTCTGAATTGATCGCAATATTTCCAACACAGCCAGTTGGCGTATACGCAAAATTTAATATTCAAAAATAAAATAATGGTCCTCAATTTTATAGCTACTGATTATATACGAAAACATGTAAAGTTAGCAACAACATTCCCCTACAACTTACCGGGCTCAGCTACCGCAATCAGCATACTTATAAAAATTAAAAGTGCATTTAGGATTCAGTCCCATGTATAAGACAGGTTGGTGTTACAAGTAAACTACAGGTTCGCATTGCATGTAAACTACAGGTTCGCGTTACGTGTAAACTTTAGGTTCGCGTTACATGTAAACTACAGGTTCGCGTTACATGTAAACTAACGGTTCATGTTACATGTAAACTACAGGTTCGCGTTACATGTGAAATACAGGTTCGCGTTACATGTAAACCACAGGTTCGTGTTACATGCATGTAAACCATTTGTCCGTGTTACATGTAAACTACAGGTTCGTGTTACATGTAAACTATAGGTTAGTTTACATGTAAACTACAGGTTCGTGTTACATGAACTACAGGTTCGTGTTACATGTGAACCACAGGTTCATGTTACATGTAAACTATAGGTTCGTGTTACATGTAAACTAATAGTCCGTGTTGCATGTGAACTACAGGTTCGTGTTACATGTAAACTATAGGTTCCTTTACATGTAAACTACAGGTTCGTGTTACATGAACTATAGGTTCGTGTTACATGTAAACTATAGGTGCGCTTACATGTAAACTACAGGTTCGTGTTACATGTAAACTATAGGTTCGTGTTACATGTAAACTACAGGTTCGTGTTACATGTAAACTACAGGTTCGTGTTACATGTAAACTACAGGTTCGTGTTACATGTAAACTGCAGGTTGGTGTTACATGTAAACTACAGGTTCACGTTACATGTAAACTACAGCTGTCTCTTATACACATCTAGATGTGTATAAGAGACAGAACTACAGGTTGGTGTTACATGTAAACTACAGGTTCGTGTTACATGTAAACTACAGGTTCGTGTTACATGTAAACTACAGGTTCGTGTTACATGTAAACTACAGATTCGTGTTACATGTAAACTACAGGTTCGTGTTACATTTAAACTACAGGCTCGTATTGCATGTACACTACAGGTTCGTATTACATGTAAACTACAGGTTCGTATTACATGTAAACTACAGGTTCATGTTACGCGTGAACCAGGTTGGTGTTACATGTAAACTGCAGGTTGGTGTTACATGTAAATTATAGGTTGGTGTTACATGTAAACTGCAGGTTGGTGTTACATGTAAACTATAGGTTCGTGTTACATGTAAAATGCAGGTTCGTGTTACATGTAAATTACAGGTTCGTGTTACATGTAAACTACAGGTTCTTGTAACGTGTAAACTACAGGTTCGTGTTACATGTAAACTATTGGTTCGTGTTACATGTAAATTATAGGTTCGTGTTACAAGTAAACTACAGGTTCGTGTTAAATGTAAACTACAGGTTGGTGTTGCATGTAAACTATAGGGCCATGTTACATGTAAACTATAGGTTCGTGTTACATGTAAACTATAGGGTCATGTTACATGTAAACTGTAGGTTCGTGTTACATGTAAACTACAGGTTCGTGTTAAATGTAAACTACAGGTTGGTGTTGCATGTAAACTATAGGGTCATGTTACATGTAAACTATAGGTTGGTGTTACATGTAAACTGCAGGTTGGTGTTACATGTAAACTATAGGTTCGTGTTACATGTAAACTGCAGGTTGGTGTTACATGTAAACTATAGGGTCATGTTACATGTAAACTGCAGGTTCTTGTAGTATGTAAACTACAGGTTGGTATTACATGTAAACTACAGGTTCGTGTTACATGTAAACTACAGGTTCGTGTTACATGTAAACTACAGGCTCGTATTGCAAGTAAACACAGGTTCGTGTTACATGTAAACCAGCAGGTTCATGTTACATGTAAACTACAGGTTCTTTTAACATGTAAACTACAGGTTCGTGTTACATGTAAACTACAGGTTCGTGTTACATTTAAACTACAGGCTCGTATTGCATGTAAACTACAGATTCGTGTTACATGTAAACTACAGGTTCGTGTTACATGTAAACTACAGGTTCGTGTTACATGTAAACTACAGATTCGTGTTACATGTAAACTACAGGTTCGTGTTACATTTAAACTACAGGCTCGTATTGCATGTACACTACAGGTTCGTGTTACATGTAAACTACAGGTTCGTATTACATGTAAACTACAGGTTCATGTTACGCGTGAACTACAGGTTCGTGTTACATGTAAACTAGATTCGTGTTACATTTAAACTAGGTTAGTGTTACATGTAAAGTACAGGTTCGTGTTACATGTAAACTACAGGCTCGTGTTACATGTAAACTATGGGGTCATGTTACATGTAAACTACAGGTTCATGTTACATGTAAACCAGCAGGTCCATGTTACATGTAAACTACAGGTTCATGTTACATGTAAACTATAGGCTCGTGTTACATGTAAACTACAGGTTCATGTTACATGTAAACTACAGGTTCGCGTTACATGTAAACTACAGGTTCGCGTTACATGTAAACTACAGGTTCGTGTTACATGTAAACTACAGGTTCGTCTCTTATACACATCTAGATGTGTATAAGAGACAGAACTACAGGTTGGTGTTACATGTAAACTACAGGTTCGTGTTACATGTAAACTACAGGTTCACGTTACATGTAAACTACAGGTTCGTGTTACATGTAAACTACAGGTTCGTGTTACATATAAACTACAGGTTCGTGTTACATGTAAACTACAGGTTCATGTTACATGTAAACCAGCAGCAACGCACCTGCCTGTTCCACGACGAAGATGCCGTAGTCGAGCTGCTGCTGCTGCAGGAACGGGTGCATGTGGTGCAGGAATATTGGCAGATGAGAAGCACGGGATCTGTAAGTGAATATAGAGTTGTTCTTAGTTGAAAAATTAAAAAAAAAGACGGGGACGAACATGATGTTTGAATAAAAAAATTGTTATTATTGTGGTTGTTCTAAGGAAAGTTTGTTGACTGGCTACGTCATTTAGTGACTAACTTTTGCAGTTTAAATATATTTCCGAATCCGCAATCGGCCATTTTTATTCTCATAAACATATGAAATTCTTACTATGATGGCTACTTTCCTTCTATAACCTGTATGGGATGATGAAGGTCACCTTCTGCCCTCTATAACCTGTATGGGATGATGANATGACGACGGCTTCCATCTGCCCTCTATAACCTGTATGGGATGATGACGGCCTCCATCTGCCCTCTATAACCTGTATGGGATGATGAGGGCCACCTTCTGCCCTCTATAACCTGTATGGGATGATGAGGGCACCTTCTGCCCTCTATAACCTGTATGGGATGATGACGGCCACCTTCTGCCCTCTATAACCTGTATGGAATGATGAGGGCCACCTTCTGCCGTGCCTGGCACTCCTCCGGCCGCCATTGGCCCCCAGGCAGCAGCTCGGGGTGCCGCCGCTCTTCCTCCGCAAGGTCTGCTGAAGAAGTGTCCACGGCGACTGGTCCTCCTGGAATGCAGTCCAAGACTCAATGGAAGCGCCAACAATATTATTTCGTGCTGTAATCTAATGTCAAATTACCATATATTCTTACCCTAGACTTTCAAAAAATCGAATCATTTATTCAACGGCTCAACAATTCAATTCGCGAATTTATACCGGCTTTACACATTTCAACAGCATCCTGTCACTCAGACCAGACATCACTTCATTTTTCATGTTCTGTCTCGAGCGACGGCATCTGAGTCGTAGAAAGTTATAACATTTTAACCTTTACTGTTAGACTTCATGGTAATATCTCGATAGAATTGAGTGAGGAAAATCAATGTAGTCTTATTTCTTGAAGTTTACTTCAGCACAGCATGAGCGGCAAGAACCTGCTCCAGCCGAAGACACAAACCATGCAAGGACTGACGCTAGAGCGGGAGCCGTATAGGGAACCAGGGTAAGGAACTTGTGTAAAAGTGAAGGAAGTAAACGACAACTCGCAGGAATAGTTACAGAAGAATATGTTTACTCCAACAATAATAAACAACGTGGGGGTGACTCATTATATAAACTGTCGCGAATGGTTGCACTGTCCTCATGTACCCTGAAAATCAGCAACGTAACATGTGTCGTGGTATTTCAATTCCTTTCAATGTTACAATCCGTTGATGAATATTCTGAGAGCTTTACTCCTTTATAATCAATTTGATCAGAAGGCTTATTTGTCCATATAACGCAAAAAATTCGTTTCGTCAGAAGATCCGTAAATGAGAGAGTCGTGAAGAACGTTTAGATTGTAGAGAATTTACAACAGCCCAGCACTCACCAAGGTTTGGAGGCATCGTTGGACAAGGCAGCAGCTCACCGCTCATTGAACTCAAGTTCGGCTCTTCACCTGTCACTTTGTCCAACTTATTATTGCTTTTTTTATCTAAGTCTTCCTCGGTTATGGAACTTTTACTATTGTTGACGCTGTGATCATTATTGATGCCATTTATGCCCGTGATTTGAGTGTATATGGTGCGGTCGCTGTTGTTCTTGACGCCCTCGAGTCTTGAAGACGCGTCACCGAGAGTCTCGCTTGATGGCCGAGGAGAAATCTCGCTGCTGCGATGCCAGTTTCGTTCCTTAAAATATAACAATCTTGTTACAAAATACTTATTCTCAACTGAGTAAGACAGTGAAAAGATAATTCGAACCAACTCTTAACATGAACCCTGTGACACATTTTTGTAACACTCTCTTTTCGTCCGAAAACATGCATTCATAATTCACGATTATTCATGGTCCTTAATTATGAAGAGTAAGAAAATAAGACTTGTATATGAAGCCGCACCTTTGTCAGGGACTGTTTGCTGGTCATGACAGACGCAGTGCTGGAGGGTTCCAAGGAATATGACGGAGCTGAAGCGGCGTAGAATAGAGCGCAGGCCAACATCAGTAGCAGCACATTTCTTGAACATCTCACACGTACACCGCCAAAACAATGTCTGAAATCATGCCAGTTTTGAGAAGTGGGTAGGAGAAGCTTGCAGCCTTTCAAACTCTGCAAAATACTTTCATGCGATGCTTGTATGGTTGCTTGAGGGAAATGTGGGATCGCCCATTATTGGAAATAGAGAAATATTCTAATTGGCATGACAGTAAATCATAACAAACTAATATCAGTTCAGCAAGAACTGATATTAGGTTAGGTTATTAATTAGGTAGAACTGATATTCAAAATTCACAGAGTGAATAAATGTCGTCGCAGGAGACCAAGTTCAAATTCTCAGATAATGTACGCTCTAAATTTCTTAAGATTCATATTCATTGGGCTCTAAAGAATAATTGAAGACGCTTCTGATGCATTTGGACTCATTATATAATATAATAATATAATAGCGGTTTCAGCGTTTATTAGGCCGTAGGCCTGTCGCTGATTCTTAACATCGCAGAATATTCACAGCATTTTGCGGTCTCGAACGCGCAACTCACTGCTACAATTCTGCTATGCTTAACCGCCCGACCACCTTGTCGATTCTGACCGTGAACTGGCGCACACAGCTGGGATTGAACCCGCGCCTTTCTGCGCCAATCTTGGTACTCTGAACTGTAACCACTAGCTATAGGCCACCGTGCCCTGATTAATAAAAATTAAAAAATAAAATAAAAATTAATTCCGGATTGTTCTGACAACCGACTCTCGGTAATGTAGTCCTCACTATCCCATTTCATGAAGTTTGAATGGGACCAAACTTCCGAAATGAAATAAAAATTTTAATCTTTATAAAAATTGTGTCCCAATAAGGATAAATTAACCCAGCAGGCATTGGGCGTTGAAACAACGTTGATTATTGATTGATTTCATGTTGAAATATTGAATAACCAAAATTAAACGTCATATCAACGTCGTAATATGATCAACACTACAAGAGACGTAAAACAACCTTATTTAAAAGTTGAAATAACGTCGATATTGACACGTTGAATCAATGTTGATTTCAGGTTGAAATACTGAACTACCAAAATTAAGCGTCCAATCAACGTACAAATCTGACCAAAATTAGAAGGGACGTAAAACAACTTTATTACAACGTTGAAATAACGTCGATCTTGGTAAATTTAATATTAATTCATTTTTAAACGTTGAATCAATGTTGATTTCTGGTTGAAATTTTGGACAATCAAAATTAAACGTCCAGTCAACGTCGAAATCTGACCAAAACTAGAAGGGACGTAAAACAACCTCATTTCAACGTTGAAAGAGAGTCGATATTAGTAAGTTGATTTCAGGTTGGAGGCTGCACAACCAAAATTCAATTATAAATTAGCCTTGCAATCTGACCATCATTTGAAGAGACATAAAATAATCTAATTTCAACGTTGAAAAATGGTCGATATTGCTACGATGTATGTACTGCTATTTATCGACGTTGAACTTATGTTATCACACCAACATTAAACGATATTCATATATATAAGTTTACGAATAATGACCAGAGAATGCATTATAATTTTCGAGTAGTCGCACAATTCTTCAGCTTATTTTTATTTCCCAAGTATTCGAGCTACCGTGGTCAATATGGCTTAGGCGTTGAATGGTGTGCAGCGATCCCGGGTTCGAATCATGCTACGGTTCATCCGGCCAGGGGAGAATTGAAGGGAAGTGAATAGATAGGGCTGCAAATAGTATGTCTATGTCCAATTAACTGCAAATCATTGTAATTATATGCTCGTGTGTTCTAACTGTCACGATAAAACAATGTTGGTACGACGTTCCATTAGTAACGTTGCTTCACTTTTCATTCTAAACTTCTTTTCAACGCGATCACAACGATGAAAAAAGTTGGTTCTTCAACGCTTATTCACCCAGAGAATTTGACGTTGCAGCGACGTCGTAGTAGAAACATTGACTCAACGTTACATTGTAACGTGAAACGTCAGTACGACGTTTCATGAAAGACGTTGCTTCAATTTTCAGTCTAAACCTCTTTTCACCCCGATCTCAACGTCGTAATTGGTAGTTGCCTCAACGTCGATTCAACCAGCGAACGCCTGCTGGGAATGTTTCGATGTAACAAACTAAATAATTTCTTTTACACAGGAGTGGATGATGACAGCTTTATCCATTCACTAATTCATCGAGAGCAGCAGCTAATAATATGCGTTTTCACATTTTCGAATCCATGTATTCAGAGAAGTGCATGTGGTAAAAAGGTATGCCTAAGCATTCATTTACTGCAATGGCCCAAAGGTACGACTGCTTTTTTGGTGCGTAATTGAACGTTAGGTTAATGACCTGCAGAGCCTGAAAGACCAGGAACAGCAGAAGGCAGAGCAGCGGCTGCAGCCTGCAGAGCCACCCTTAACAAATTCTAATGGCAACCGTTTTCGGAATGGCAAGTCTGAAACGCAACAGATGTCAATCGAATATGTCTCAGCATCAGTAAAAAACTAAGAGAAATTAAGAACGAATTTAAAGCAAAGAAAACGTTTCGGAGTCCAGCTCCATCATCAGTTCGACTAAACTAAAAATGAATAAAATCATTTTATAAGTCAAAATTCAAAGAGAGACATAAAACCTAAACAAGACTTAACATTATATCGAAATAAACAGGACTAGATTGGAACAACTTAGTCTTAGGGGTACGACAAGAATATAAAATCCTTTGCGATTCACTATTTCCAAATTATATGA